TCAAATTCCTAAGAATATAATCTAGTTACTAAAAATATTTTACTTAAAACTACATATATGAAAATAAGTTACAAAAAAGGAAAAAAATTACTTTTTGTAGTTCTGTCATTCAATCAGACTCTAATTACAAAAGATTCCAAGTAGTCATCTTTTCTGCCATTACTGTGTTTTTGTCATATACTGTGTGCCTAAGTAACTACTAATTTTACAGCCATTTGGATGCTGGCACAAAACAATATTACTTAAGACATTATTAATGTTTATCTCTAAACCTGTTAACCTATTCAGTTTGGATTGAGCAGCAGTTACCCACTACCGGAGGTGAAACACTGAAAATGACAAATGATTTGTTATTTTTTTTTCTCCTAGTCACACTGTTGCTTATTTAAGCTTAATGAAAAGCCATACACATTACATAACAAAAGAACTGAATGTAGATTTTAACTCCAGAATTACACAAAGATTATCAGTACAGAACTACTCTATATTCTGCCACTGAATTTCAGAAGCTTTATAAATATTAAAGACCTCTGCTGATTTCTGAAACAACAGAACTGTTTTTACATTCACAAGTCAAGCATGAGGCAGAAAACAATCACTACCTTTGCAGGACTTTTATAAGGTTTCAGTTCTCCTTGGTTACTAATGAAACCCTCTCCTCTGGAAGCAAACCAAACTGCACAGCCAATGCTGTCATCCAAGACTGTATCCAGTGGATAAATTAAGTGATTAATGTATTGTTGTCTCATTTTTTTCAGTTCCTCTAGTGTAACATTGATTTCCACAAAATTCCAGGTTCTTGAAGGGTTAATGGCTTCTAATTCTTTCAGTCCTGCCCTACCAGTGATTCTGTCTGGAACATCAAAGGAAGATAAATGAGCACACATTTTAGCATCAAGATCTCTACAACTTTCTTGAGGACAAAGCAAATCAAGCTGTACTTCCTGGTTGGTATGTTTTCTAGTGGTACCCTTTTGCTTAGCTTGTTCTTTTATCATGAAAGCTACATTGAGAAGATCAATTGGTTCCCCTACAGGCACATGTTTATCAGCAAGGGCTGCAATAACCATAGAATCAATGCCACCAGAAAAGAGCACTGCAACGTGTGCTTTCCTATCAGACATGCTTGGAACTCCTCTTGTTTTCTGATCTTCATCTCTAAAGAGGGATAAAACCCGTCTCTTCACTGCTTCATTTAAAACATCAATAAACTGATGGACTAATTTTTTCTTCTGTTCCTCTGCAAGAAATCCTTGGAGGGTTTCTACAGAAACCGTATGGGTAATGTTGCTAATGTTAGGGCCTGGACATTCACCTGAAGCTTCAGAAATTGTTTGATTTAAGGGGATAACTGGTGCTCTGAGACATAGTTTTGATTCATTCATCACAAGAGGTACATGGCTTGGTAAGTCTTTCGAAATTTGGTCCAGAATGTTTAAGAATGTCGCGTCTGTTGCCTTCTCTGTGCAGCCATACTTCCATGGAAACAATGTTAAAGACAAAGATCTAGTTGTTGCACAAGCTTTGAGATTAATTTTGAAAATTCCAGATGCTGGAACTTCTTGCCACTGGTTACCTGATTCAGAATAAACACTTACAGATGTGAGACAGAAAACACTGTCCTCATTCCTGATTTGCCAAAGCAAACTACGACGACCAAAATAATCTCTACCAAACCATAAACTGTGACTAGATGCTTGATAATAAATAAAAGACCACGGACCTCGAAGCGATGAAAACAGTGACAAAATGTCTGCTTCAGTACTGCATAATGCAAGATGATGAAACAGTACTTGAGTGTCATTCTCTAGATCTCCTACGTGGACTCCATTGAAAATTTCTCCATTCCAAAGAAAAATATTGTTATTGGCATCTTCCAGAGGCTGAGGAGTCAGAAGTCCCCTCAAGTGAAGTACATGGCCAGAAAACAGACACTCATAAGAGAGATCAGATGCAGTTTTTATCAACTGTTGGCTACTGTCTGGTCCTCTTCTCCTAAGATGGCAGAGTATGTCTTCATTAAAGAAATCATAAATAGCATGCTGGCTACACAAGGTAACAACGCAACAAATACCACACATTGTGACTTTGAATTCAGATGGATTATTTCTTGATTTTAGTCTTTTCTGAATTTTCCATCTCCTGATGTGCCTTCTTTAATTCATCTAATGTATCTGTGTAAGACAAAAATACATGAATAATCAGTTTCATAAACTGGTAAGTTTACAAGTAGATAAGTTCAAGAGTGTATCTAAGAAATAAGTAGCTCCAGTCATTTGTTCAATTAAAGAGATAAGCAGGAAACACTAAGTAACAAAAGTGCTATAGTATTGATGCAACACAAACATAGCTCACTGTAGCTTATTCCTCTTTAATTATACAAAGAGGATGTTGGTTTTTTTCTCCCAAAGAAAGTCACACTGCAAGCATAAGAATTAGGGGAATGGCCAACTATTGCCTACATAATCAGTATGATTTATGCATTTGTGATAATAAGAAAAGTGAACTGTCAATTAAAATGTCAACACTATTAAATCAAAGGAAATAAAATGAAAATAGCAACTGTTTATTACACAAAATAAATTTCTACTTCTAAATTTATACATTTCTAATGTTTGTTCAATCAACTCTATCATCCATTCTCCTCTCTTCATAACCCCACAGATCCACTTTCAACTACCTAAAGATTTCTAGCTTAGCCTCCAGTGTAACTTGCCACTATTTTCTTCCTACTCATCCCATGCAACTTTTAGACTTTTTAAAAATAGTTTTTAAGGGACAAAGTGCTATACAGCTTCCCAAAGGGTGCCAAGAATAGCAGCTCCTCTGTGAGGCAGACATTCTTGCTCTTCACACTTGCTCCTTTATCACATCCATGTATCAAATGGAAAGTTTCATATTTATCCAACCCAGAAAAACAAGCATGTGTCTGAAATCTACTTTGCATTTGAAATACAGTTGCCACTTTTTCATTTTAATATACCTTTGAAATCATTAACAGCTACAAATACAGCTTTTAAAGAGTTAATTATTTTATCAACTTTTACACTGCAAGCTTACTTTTGCACTGAGATAGCGTTTCTGTTCGGTCTACAAGGAAGAATATGTTGCTATTGGGTTGCTGCCTATAAACTTTCTGTAAAACAAAAACAACGCCGCATCAAGTCAAAGCAACAAACTCTGGCAACCACACTGCAGCAGAAGTTGATGCAGGTCCACTGAGGTACCCCTTCACTTCTATGCCAGAAGGATAGATAAGCTCTGCTCTGACAACACCAACATTCTAAGGTTGTGCCATCAAAAATATTTCATGATCAACCCATGACTATCTGCATTTCTCTTTTCCTCATACCTGAGGAATCACATTCTATTTCAAAATGTATACACATGAAAAGCAAGGATACTTTAGGAAGTTTTCTGATCAACTTAAAACATCTTAATGAAATAACTCAGATAAGAAAAAAAAAGGCAGAAAAACCCCCAACAATGTACTGTGTTACACTGCACAAGTAATATATAACTAAATAATTTGGAGGACAAATTATTCTGAGAACAGCAGACCACATCTGTACTAAAATCTGTATTAAAACAAAATTAAAGGCACTGTACTGCGATTATGTTTCCCCTCTTGTCTCTGTGCTTATTTCTCTGATGCTAAAATGAGTCAAAAGCAAATTCGGAAATACTTACCCGATTTTTCTTCAAGTTAGAAAGCTCATCAACTACAACCTTCTGCTCTTTAATCTGAAAGGCAAAAGATACATTTCAATTTTATTATTAAAAATAAACCACTGTATTATAATCCTGGTGGTGAACATGCTTACTGACTGATATTTTAAGACAGCTACATGCATATATAATTGCTGTTTTCTGAATGGACCATTGAGACCAAGTGGAAGTAGAGATGATAATGAAATACCAAAAAACCACTCTAGAAACAGGTTATCTTCCATGGATTGATATTTCTCCTACCCTTGAAAGCAATCACTACTGGAAGGCAGAGTACCTCTAGCTGTTTATAATCAGAGATTGCATTTTTCTCACAGAGGAAAAGACAACATGCAGACAACTAATAAAACATCAAATAGCTTTAGAAAACAAAATTTAGCATAATATCTACAATACAAATGATAATCACAGCTATGCTCCAGATCTGAAATGAAACTAGTAAAAACCACAAACATCTAAAACTGTATTAAGAGCAATGGGAGATTTTCTATTGCTCTAGAGTTTTGCATAAACTTCCATAGGGGGATTTACCACTGTCAGAAGCAGCAGGTATTCCCATTTTCTTTTATAATAACAGCTGTCAATGCCAAAGAGCAATCAGGACAGTCATAAAAAACAACAAATAGAACAAAATCTGGTGCACAGGCGCTTAGTGCTTTTATCAGAAACAAACACTATGGTTTTCTTTGTTTTTCCTTGTGTCTCCTGGAATTGGTGCAACAGCAGAAAGCTGCCACACAGCCACGTTAGCCAAAGCGAGCACAGCATACAGGACAGCCAGCTTTTCCATCTGCTACATCAGTATCTGATATTCACAACTCCAACAGGGAAAGCAGCAGTGTCATCTTTTGCTACGGACTAAACCAGTGTCCCTGCTCATGGCAGGGGGGTTGGAACGAGATGATCTCTAAGGTCCCTTCCAACCCCAACCATTCTGTGATTCTAAGGATAAGAGAAATTACAAGCTGTGGTACTGTTACAGAAGAGCTTTACAGCTTTTCCCAGGCAACGAAAAACACCACTGACTGTGGCCATACCAAAAATAATTAACTTTCGGAGGGAAAGGGGCTCCACAGCCCTCGACAGAGCTCACACTAAGCCCAGCTCCTGGCGCCAGGGACGGCAGAGCAGGTTTCTGAGGAGTGCCCCTGTCTGTGTCCGAAATCCCTCGGGACGCTCCCAGCAGCCACGGCTGAAGCAGACACCG